CACACTTCTGTTAGAGGGCGCTGCCTTCAATAGGACCAGTATTACAGGAATTAGAAGTTCAAAAGAGGTCTTCAAAATTATTTATTTTTTTCTCGGTAAAGATCGAGTCTTTTCCTTTTTACCAAAAATTTGCGCCGACGTTAATCTTGAATAGCGTTGAATAGCCATCTTTATAGATTGAGTAATTCTTTATGGCTCCCAGAAATAATGCGCTACTTTATAGTATGATATTAAGACACGATCCCATTAATTTAATTTAAACAAGAACAGAGAAATAACATTTCTTATTTAGACTACAAATTATTTTATCCTTCAAATGAATTGCGGTAAATTTATATCATTATTTGAAACAACGTTTCAAAATTAGCCGGATTAAATTTTAGTAGTTCTGTATATAATAACGGTGAAAAAATAATAATTAACCCCAGATTGCCCAAAGAAGTCCTTTTGACTGCTTTTTAACTGCTTTTTCATTTGCAAAAAATGTACAAATAATAATGAATGAACTATTTTTTTCCCAAGTGAAGTAATTTTTTTTATTGTTAATATTTACTAGTAACTTGCTGTATAACTGTAAATAATACAAAAAATATTAAAAATTAATTAAATAAATTTCTTCATACGTTACTTATTCTTTCACAATGCAGTCATTTTGATTGCTTTCGGGCAATATAGGTATATNTATATACAGGGTGATTCTAAAAAGATGGGAAAAATTTTAGGAAGTGATAGTGTACACACCCAGACAAACAACTTTTATCAAAGGATGCATGGTTGAAAACAAAACGCAAAGGTGCTGGCGCATTTGGAAAATTGTTTTATGTAAACGAGAAAGCTCCATTCCTATTGCGAGTTACTGCGCTACGCTATTTGTCGCCAAGCTTTCAGCGGCTGCAGGGAAAGTTTGCCTATCTTTTCTTCGCCGTTGTACCAGCATAGCCGCTGCTGGCCACTGTTTTGAACACTTATTGTAATCACATGCCATTAAATTTGCTTTTATAACTTAACTTCATCAATCTTTGTGTGTTTTTGCCTCGTATAAGAACATAAACTTTGACGCCCTCTAGCGGTTTTGGGTTTTGTTTTCGACCATGCATTCTTTGATAAAAATTGTTTGTCTGGGTGTGTACTATCACTTCCTAAAATTTTCCCCAAAGATTTTGAACGTTCTCGTCTGCACATTTTAAAGCATTATTATTAAAGTAATAATTAAATTTTGCGCATTGAAAAGGGTGCCTCCAATGGATAAACATGCGCAGGAGCTAAATGCTTTCCGGCCAAAATCGCTATGACAAAGAAAGCGAATGGCAAAATCACGACGCACTAAACCATGAATTGGACAAAACTGTGAATGCCGAAATCTCGCTGGACAAAAATACAATGCCGAATTATAGAATCGAATGCCAAAGCCTGCATCATGGTAATCAGGATTGATGAAAAACAGTGACTGGTTAAGGAAGATAATTCAATTAATTGACTTATTTGGTTAGATAAATAATTTCTAGTTTCTTTAAGCACAACTAACTTATCGGATGTATAGCGATATTTGAAAAAATTTTCTCTTTGTGAATACACATAAATTTTTCGGTTTGAAAACATCAGAGCTGGAAACATCGGGAAATGACCTAAAAATGAATGTGTGTGAATAATGAACATTGTGAAAAATTCGTTTTAATTTATAATAAAAATTCATGATATTTTCATGAAAATGTACCATTTCATCATACAATTGATCAAAAATTTTGAACGCCTTCAAAATATCTTACACAAATGAAAATTGTATTATCAAACTTATATAGAGTTAGCATTTTACCAAATCGTTAGAAATAGAACATGTTATCGTGAAGGACAGTAGGAAGAATATTGTTTTGTGACAATGTTTACGTCAATTTTCTAAAACATTTTTTTCCATTCTCACGAAGCGAATGAAACCCTAAACCATTTTTATTAATGCAAGTTTCAATTTTCACGTTTTCGACACGAATTTCAAAGATACGTATCATTAATGATTATCAATGCAGTGATCTATTTTATGTTAAAACATACTGCAGTGTTTTTTAAGAAAAGTCCTTTTAGAAACAAATTAATCTTTATCTAATTTTTAATTTTAGATAATGTATATACTATTAGTTTTAACTTTAAAATTTTGTAAAAGAAAGGGAAAAGAGCTTATAAAAAGTACTTTAAACCATTCAGTAAAACCGCTCAATTCTCTGTAAAAGATTAATCGTATCTAATGTCAAGTTAAAAATCATTAAAAACCTTCAAACCAGCAGCATAAAAACGGAAGAAATAAAGCTTGAAAATGCTTTGAAAAAGTAGCTTTGATGACCTGGTAAAAGCAATATTTCAGAGCTTTTTGCTTTTTTGCTTTGCAAAAGCAGTCGCCATGTCCAGCTATTTCCGGTTCAGGGACCCAATCTTTCGGTCAGTCTCAATTTCATGAAAATAGAAACAAAATAAAGCTTCTTTTCTTGTAGACCCATTAATTCTATACTCTTATTCTTATCTCATTTTCTTCTTGAGAGTTATCTATTCTTTGCAATTTATGTACATAAGCAATTCACTTTCTCCTCGCAACTAATAATCTTAAAATGCTTTTAATGTGCCACTTCATTTTATGATGATTTATGTATTGAATAAAGAATTCCGAAACATATATCCTACATGGAATTAAATCAAGTATATATATAAAAAATAACATTATTTTATATAGCTTATGAATTTCCTTTTAAAGAAAAATAAATCATTTTATTTTTTTGTTTTTTTTATATTCTGACAATCTATAAAAAGATGCATTTTAAAATTTATTTACTTGGAAAGTTGTGGCAGGGAAAATTTAGCATAAAATTTGAGCAGGTGTTCTATGCTTGGAGAACTTATTGCTATCTCTAAATGTAAATTCTAAGCATTTAATATATCAACTCTAAATCATTGTTTATTTTAGGAAATGCACTATCTTGAAATTTCGAAAAACGAAGATTTAAATTTAAAATTTTTAAAATACTTTGAGCTAAAGTTTTGAAGGTTAATTACGCTGTTTTTTCTAATAACACATTGACAAGTCTAGATCTCTAGCCATTTGCCTCGCGAAATAAGTCACGAAAATGTGCCTTTTGTTTGACAAATTAGCATCGAAAGGGTGGAAGTTCGTCTTGACTGAGAAACAAATGGATAGATGGCAGCAGCACACATTAGGGAATCTTCAGTCTTTAATATCTTTTCGCTGATAAAATTTATCTTTTCTTCAAACTGAATCCCTTTTTTTCTAAACTTAACTATTTTTAGAGATTAAATGACAATTTGCAATATCTGATTTTTTATCATTGGGAAACTCGTTGAAATGTTTGAGAACTAAAAACGCACGTGAACTAAAAACATAATATTTTCAAGTAACCTAGGGCCATTAATACATTACCACTCTATGAACAGTATCAATATAGATATAAAAATATAGGAATCAGATTTGTTACGGGACCAATCCACGAGGTATCTGAAACAGCAACATCACCAAAATGTCAGGATATGAACCAAGCTGTTGGAACCATGACTTCAGTTTTTTTTCTCCATTGCTTTTTCACTCTTTGTATATTCTCGCAATTATAGTAGTACTTTATTTACGTCGCTCCAGAACTGCACAAAGGGCTGTTGGCGACAGACTGCGAAGCATCCCTGAGGATGATCCGGAGACATGCTATGACACTTTTGATCCTCCACTGGAAGATATTTTCCATGATTTGGTATTTTCCATGCTCTCAGACCATTCGAATGATAAAAGTATTCACTCACTCACTTTCTGACCGTTGCCATTGATGCTTTACTTCGGTGATACTCTTCACTCGGAACAGAGTCTTACGACCAGTCTCCACTGTGGAACTCCCACCATTAGGACTAATATAAAATATTACCGGGAATCTTATAGAAAAAATCAGCAACTTAATCCTAAATCAAATAATTTCAAAAGGGCTATTGCAATATTTGTCGTAAATATAAATTTTGTGATCCTATTCCCAGATTCTATTTAAAACTAAAGCATTCAATTAATACTGAATACACGATTTTCAATTACTTTTTATTCTTGCCGATATGTAATTTATCACGGCAAGCAGCATATTTTTTAAACTTTTTTTTATATTCTCTTCATCAATATTAAATCCTACGCACATTAAGCCTTTTCAGAAGTGAGAAACTGAATTATTGTATTATTTGCCAATTCTTTATTTCAGAAATCACTCACTGTATTGATTATGGACGAAAACCTTTGAATTCACCTTCAAAAAGACGGATTTTATTCAAGACATCAAAAATAGTATTAAATGAATTTATTCATTGGATAACAAAAGAGTCAATTTTAAAACCTAATGCTGTTTATATTGAATACAAGTACACTGTAATCTGCAATCTAAGTGCATTAATGAAAATTAAATTTCTTTAATATGACATTGACAGCTTAGCAATTTAAACGATTACAAGTAAGAATTTTACTATAAAGTTCTACTTATTAGTGCCTTTAGGTCATTTCCTTTCAAGCCCAACCTCATACCAAAGGTCATGAGACTCATTGGAAGCTTGTACTGCGTTTCCTTTCGAATAAAGCTATACCCAGTACACTGATTTTGAAGGAAAGAGTAAAAATTTCTAACTGATATTTTACGCGTATTCAATTTAAAGTTGTGAATTTAAAGTTGGACCGAATTGAAACATTGAAATAAATTCCGTAAATATGAAAGATCCACACACTTTAAAGAAATACATTTAAGTTCGTATTCTCAATAAATAGAAAGTATGCAATGAAGGGTAACATTATGTTTTAGATACATTCCATTCAAGGGGAAATACAGGGCATGGATAACGGTGCTCATACAGATTAAAAGTATTTGAAATGTATAAATTCAATTTCTTTTTAAAGTTTAGAGTATATGAACTTACAAATACTGAATTTTTGTCTTATATCTGACTATCAACCTAGCTGAGATTTTCAAGCAATAAAACAGATTTACAAATACGTAAAATTTATTAAAACTAGACATAAATACAGTAAAAAACATTCACCACGAAGTTTTGTCACAGATATATTTAGATATGTTTATGAATTGGTAGGTAGTTACAAATAAGGTTCTTGGTCAAACCATTGCCACATCTTGGGCTTATCCTCTTCAAGCTCATATTTTACGCAGTATTCCCTTATTGAACCACTGCAAAGGAAAGCGAACAACATGAGTGCAAGTAAATGTTCAGAACTTAGTCTGCTATATAATTACTTGTTACACTATGTCGGGTATAAATTTAGAAACTTACAAAACAGTCAATGTTAATCCCTTGCTATTATTCTCAGCAGACAAAGCAATGCTCATTTTATAGTATGGACTTAAGTGAACAGTATTAAATAAGTTCACGATAGATAAAATTCAATAAATTGAAATTTGTATTCAAACGCATTAAGACTTTCCTTCTATTTCTATCATAATTCAGAAAGTTTTGTTACTTCTATCAAAATTCCTATCAATATGACTACTATGAATAGATTTAATGACCGACTCCAGTTTTGAATTTTGAAATGTTTACCTTTTAAGTGTTTAGGAGATTACAACCGTTTGGGTAACAATGACCTTCGAAATAAAGTTTTTTTTAAAATGAACAATTTTAGTTTAACTAGCAAAAATAAAAATCTGCTTTAATATTAGAACTCAGCACAAATGCTCAGATTTCATCACAAGAGAAGAGAGTTGAGAAAATTCTGATTACATGCGATGCGCACGTTCCTTTAAAACTTCAGAATTAGAGCAACTCTGCGTATAAGCCCTTCACAAAGTAGAGTTTTCTTACAATGGTAGCTTCTGCATTTGAAAGCAACTAATCGGAACTAGTTCCAAAAATTTTTGAATTGTTAAAATATCCAAAATAGCTTAGTCTTGGTAATCATTCTAATAATGTTTGCGAAATTCTTAATCTTGACGTTTTTGTTTTAATTTTCGTAGTACTGTTTCGATAAACATATCTAGAAAGATTTAGTTTCAGATGGATTTACGGCACTTCCTTGAATGTTGAGTAAAATGAAGTGGCTATTGTCAAAACTATGGCACATTCTGAAATGCCAAAAACTTATGGTTCTGAAAAATTTACATCAAGAAATGGAACTGAAGTTTAACCGCATTTTTATTTTACAAGCATAACTTAAGTTACAGTAAGAACAAGGCAACTTTGTGAATAATTTTCATAAACAAAAACTGCAGTCGATTTATATTTTTCTTAGATTTAAAAATCATTTTAATTTTATTTAAAATAGTTACACGACCATAATATATTGAAAAAGTTAAAGCCAGATTTCTACCTTTGTGAATATCAATTATATATTCGGAATATTTGACAATACAAACGATAAAAACTTAGGTTACGTTAATATAAGACTGGAGCTCATTCAAGTTTTTAAAACTAAGAAATACAAAATTTTGCTAATAAAGTAGAATGTAAATTTAACGAAAAAACCCTATAGCTCAATAGGGTTAAACCTGTAGTGTATCTACCTCTAAAAATTATAATTCCAATTCACTTGCATATAAGAAGTGTTAACTCCATTCTATGTTGAGGTACATTTTCATAGATGAAGGTTGACATTGTCGTTAACTACTATCCACACAGAGGTGACCATCGAACGTGACGTGAACACGCCTACCTTGGCGGAAACGCCCACTACGATTTGAACACGCCTACTTGGATGGTTCACAATGAATAGTTGACTTGCTACATGGGACTGCGACATTATCCACCTCGTGCTGTTGCTACACAGTTTCGATCACACACAACGTATTAGACTAATGGAAGCATAGGAGCGACCATGACCGTGAACTTAATACAGTTATCACGATCAGTACCAAAAAAGTATGGTAATCTTAATACAGCTCTCCCGGCGTCTCACAAGACAGCAATGAATCAACTAGTGGGAATGTTCATCGAATTCCATCAGATATAATTCTGGTGGGGAGTACTGTAGTGTATCTACCACTACAAAAATATAATTCCAATTCACTGGTATATAAGACATGTTAACTCGATTCTATGGTGATGTACCTTTTCATAGAGGAAGGTTGGCATTGCCGATTACTCCTCTCCCCCCATTCATTACAAAGATCTCATACTGCCGCGCAATTTATAAATCAACGTAAGCTACAAAAATACAAAATTTAGAATTATATATTTGAAATACGGTAAGCTACAGATTTCGAAAAAATTTCTTAAAAAGTGAAGTTTTATGAGTTTTTTTTACGTTCTATTATTTTACATTCTACTAATTATTGAGTTATTTTAACATTCATAGAGTTAGCAATAGAAGAAAAATAGTTGCTAAGCCACTTTTCTCGGAAGTCAGTCGTGAAACAAGTTTTGCAATTGCATGGCAGCAATAACTGATGCTAGACAAATTAACTCTTAAAAATTGAATTAGGATTAATTTATACTGTCAAGATATACGCATTTAAAACTGTTTAAAGAAACCTTTAGTAATTAGAGGGACTTACCGTCTCCAAACTAAACATCGTGATGCTGGATAGTCGAAGTCATAGCATTGAGTTTGAAGGAGAGAGAAGAAAATGTATCCCACTGTGTTAGAAATAGGAGTGTTCACTTTTCTGAAGCATTGACGAAGAGCAGTGTCACATTTGCAATGCAATCTTCAAAATATAAAAAGGGATTAATGACATGCACTAATTATTAAATTTAAAAATAAAAGTCTCGTAACAGAAGTTTCTACTATGAAAGTCTGATTTGAATCACTTCAAATTAAATCATAATGCGAGTTTTAAACAAGTTTCAATTAATCCGTTGGAAAAAAACTCTTCATACATTGATGGTTAAGTGAAATTTTAAACATAAGGTTGACTCAAGTGACTAGACCACGCAGAAAACAAGCAGTATTGTTAAAAATTTTACATATTAACCTTTTAAAGCTGTGCAAAAATACAAATGCCTTCTAGTTACGGTATTCAAATTTTATAAAAGCTATGCTGAACACTTCGCATAAAATGCTAAAGAAAGCAACTTTCTCTCACAGGGGAATACAGGTTGGCTTATTTCGATTGTGACGTTATTCTTACAACAAATTGAAGTTATAAGATAGATTTTTAGTATGGTCTAATAATTTGAAGCATACCAAAATACACTTAGTAAAAATATTGCATTATACTCATGCTCTTATTTTATCAAATTAGGAAGCATACTAAAATATAATATTTTGTTTAATTTTCAAAATCTAAAATCTTTTAAAACCTGATGGCTTTTTTTCTCTCTAACTTGACATATTAGTTGCTTTATGAGGCCTCAAATTTTAATATTTCATACCACGTAGTGTTCAAGTCATTTAAGCTTAAAGTTAAACCACTGCAAAATTCTCTTGTTCTACAGTGATAAATGTTTTCTGCATGCAGATTGAATTAAAAATAATAAATTATATTTTGAAAATGCTTAGAAGAGAGTTATGTAGAAGATTTCTGTTCATTATAAAAATTACCAAGTGCAATTTCTGGAAAATTAAAGTTCCAGCCAGGAAATTACGTATATAAAAATAGGGTTTGAATTATTTTCCATAATACTCTGCTGCGGAAAGATCTTAGTTTGGCAATAGCTGTAACTTCTTAAAAATTATAGGTATCTTTCAAGGCGGCAAAGAGTTGAGCTCTTTATACATCCATCTGTTATTACCGGCAAAGCATAGAGCTTCAACTAAACAATTCCAAACTAAAATTTGAATGCAGAATATAAAATCCTAAACATTTTGCTTACATGAGACTTGCCATAATTACAATTTAAGCAATAAAAAGTCAGCATCTGAAATAATCATTTATAATTTACTTTGAACAGTGTAAATGTTTAAACTTAACTTTAAAAGTTATTTATTGTCTGAAAGCATAAGGACTATAACTCTGCTTGTAAAATATTTTATAGAGGGGTAGACATTTGAAAATTAAAGCTTACATAATCTTTGCTAAGTTTGCAAACATTTTAAAAGCCTTACCACGAAAGAGCTGCAACAGTGGCTTTTCAATTAAACGTTGAATCTCGTACATGTGAAAGGTTTAGAAATCTACTTTAAATCAAATTTACAAAAAATTGAAACAAAGTTTCTTCAGCTAGAAATTTTCCCCAAAAGGGAAAACGTTAGCAGTTCTGCATAATATACAATACTAAACTACAGATTCCACACAGGATGTAAATTAGAATATCGTACCTAGTAATTTTGTAAGGGTTGGCTAGATTGTATTTTGTTTTACCAGGCCGAATAATGTCATCGCAATAATCATGATCCCTGCAGCAAGCATCAGTTTGGTTGAAATAGCCAAGATCGTGAAAGTTTTCGGCCAAATTTCCTTGTCCACACCATAGAGTACCTAAAAAAATACAAAGGAAACATTCCTTTCTCAATTACATAGCAAACCATGACTTATAATAGCAAACGTGTTTTCAACGTATACGTTTTCTCTTGTACTTCGTATAGGTTTTCTTTCTTCCCGTAATTCAGTATTGGAATAATTTGTATGTACTAGAAAACAAACTGATGATTCAAAGTTATTTAAATATTGAATACAATGAATTTGTGACACAAGCTTAGTTAATTGAATATATTTTTAAAATAAAGCAAGCATTGTTTTTGGAAAAAAATTCTTTTCAAACTGTCAACACAATGCAAAATACAGCTTTATATTATTTAAAAAATAAAAATCCTATACCTACATTATAAAGTCAATGGCAATTAAATTTTTACTGAAACTAAACTTGTTATTTCTACTTAAGAGTATCACTTTTTAAAGGCGTATAAAAACATTTCTTTATTATTAAAATTGTGCGAAAAGTTATCCAATAGATTGGATGCCAGATCTCCCTAAATAAAATTTTAGTTATGCCTATTAATGTTCTGAAAGTAAATTCATAGAAAATTATTCCAAATAAATTTTACCACCACCTAATAAAATCTTAGATGCCTGCACAAGTTTGGTGCAATGGTTTTTCTATGGATAAGAAAAAGCTAATTTTAAAGATTTAAAATATGCGAGTCGCAGTTTGCTCGAAGATTCTAGAAATTTAATCTTAAATTTCAAAAACTAAAATTAAACTAAAATCACCTTAACACTTATTTAGTTTCGGAGTTAAATTATTTATAAGATTTCGTTACAGTAATTACTTAAACAAAACTACTCTTAATATTAATAGCACTAGTAAGGGAAGAAATATTTGCGAACATCGCTAAATATTTTTCAGAAGTTCTTCGGGCATTCTTTTATGTCGCGTCAGTAGTCTTTTATAAAAATACTGCATTCATTTCTATAAAATAATCCTACTACATATAGCCATCTTCTGTATGATATAGTTAAAATAATTAGTTTAAAATTCCATTCTGACTAGTTAGAACTCTGGAAGAAATATTTCACTCTGCAGTAAAAAGTACAAAAATCTCTTTAAATCAAAAGATTTCATGAAAGAATTTCTTACCGGGAAAAATTGGAGCTTGACTAAAGAAATCTGCAATTCTGAAGTCTCTTGTCGAACAATTTTCCAGCATATTCATCATTTGAGGAGTTAACATGTCGTTAAGAAAGGTCGGATTCGATATTTTTGCATTTCTATAACTAAAGAAGATTTAAGAAAATTACTTTATATAATTAAAGGTAGATCTACCTATTAAAAATTCTTATAAGCTTTAATTTCATATTTTAGCATTCAACAGTTAACTACTTTTTACAGTTTAAAAAATTATATTGAGTTTGTATTTTACAAAAGATCGAATAGCTACTTTATTTAATATTTATAATTAGCTAAAAGCTCATCAAGAATATTACATGACAAATTTTACTTACTTGAAACGTTTATTTAAAATATTAAATAAACAAAATAAAATTTAAAATACCAGATAATGAGCTTTTAATACATTAGATTGGAGAGAAGACAGATTTTCAAATGCGAGAGAGTTTTACTAGTATTATCGAAACATTTATTGGAATTTAGTACTATGTACTAAAAATTGTACTCCTGGAAGGGGGAGACAGACGTATACAATTATTTAAATTCAATACAGCTTATAGTAAGATTAATCTTTTTGAAACAAATAATTAAAAAACATTTGTGTTTGAAATGTAATCTGAATTATAAAAATAGGATAATTAGCTAGATTCTCATCTGTTCAGCTGGAGAAAGCAAGACTAGGATAAAAAATAGCTTTAGCGGCGTAGAAATCATGCAACCACAAAGGGTTGATATAGAAAATAGAGGGAAAATACTGGATGAAATTTTGTTCTTATCAAACAGTTGAAAGGCAGTCTGAAGCTTCAGATTAACATTGTAATCAAAGGTAAATAAATTTGCAATTGGAGATACTTACAGACTATTTAAAATCCTACATTTAAATTGCTGGCTTTCTAATGGAATGAAGCTACTTCCTCCTCTGGATTTCAATCCAATCAAAGCAACTATGTCTGGTCTCAGTATTCGGTCAAGCTCTTCCAATAGATTGGGTTTCGAAGGAGAGGTGCTATTTACTTTATCAGCATTAGAATAGCCCAAAGAAAATCCAAACAATAATAATAATAGCATCATGTATCCTGGAAATGCATGCATATATTTAACACTAATATAAATTTGAATGTTTAAAACATGAAATTACAAGTTGTCGAAGTATTTCTATAGAATTTAAATAGAAATAGTTTTGAAATATTAAATAACTAGCTGCTAGTTTAAATTATGCCTAAAACTATGATTTTGAAAATAAAAAAAGTGCCTAATGTAAGTGCAAATATATACATTTGAATCAATTACATGAACTTTTTCTCAAAAGGGGACCTAAGTAAACAAACTTGCATTTAAAAGAAAGTTATTAAAATTTGAGTTAAAATTTTAAAACAGCTGGTAGATAAAATTCAAATAAAATTTCATATTGTCACTCATTGGTTATAGATATTAAATTTCATATAACATAGTACAGTAAAATACGAGTTAAAGAATACTAGTTTACAAGAATACTAGTTTAAATCTGTCTTCAAACTGATCAGTTTCGAACAAAATTGAGATAAAATTTAAAACACAGGAAAAACCAGTGACTAATAAGTATTTAACGAATCAAAATTAAGCTGTTTGAATCTAATAAAATTTAGAATGCTACTAGAGAAAATTATATACGATACTCATATTAGGAAGTTTAATAAATTTCTTGCAGATTCTCTTTAGAACTACTTAAACATCTGAACCAAGATATAAAGTTTCCGAGTAATGAATTAAGGCACGAAATATATAAAATAGAGTTACTGCTTATAGTAGCACATAGGATGAAAAAAATTAAAATAATAAAGCAGACCGCATTTGAAATTATCAAAACACTTTATAAATTGCATTAAATTTTATCCTACGCTTCTAATAAGAACGCGTAAATACTTGTATAAGGAACTAAACACAAAATATTACTTAGAAGTACTTTTTTGTCGTTATCGAATTAGAAGAACTATAAAAATTATTACTTAGCTTTAAATTACGAAAGTTTCATAGGTAAACGAACAATAAATTCCAGATTTCGAATAAAGATTATGAATTTGGTTAGTATAGTTACACATTTTTAATCCCTGTATTTCATTAAATATATTCGGTCTATAAAACTATAAAAAATAAATTCTTTACTTTTATTATACTTACTGAAAAAATAAATCCTAAAATATGGCTCTGTAAATGGAATAACTGATTAGAAAAAATACTTAATATTTGTTCAGTCAAATATCACACTCAGTTGTCCGATTTGATAGACAAGAATTTCTTGCTTCTGTAGTTAGCTAAGAGAAATTTATTTGAGCATGCGCAAACTACGCATTAAATTTGCATATCATACAAAGTTAAAACAGAGCTTCTCTGACGGGGCGATCTCGGCTTCCCAATAAACGCTATGTAGTGAGGAGATAGTTGGTACGAATCCCGTAGTAACCAAGGATTGATCTTTGTTCTTTATAACGGTTTATAAGTTGTACTTTTTAAGGAGTGCACAAGCTTGCATATGCATGTGTAACAATAAATAAATAAAAGTTAAAATATTACTGTTTATTCCTTGATTTATAGGTACAGATGCATGCAGGCTTGTGTGCTTTATGGCAAAGTACGCCTTATAACCTTTGCCAAGCAGAATGATGATTTGTACAATATAGTGCAACTCAGAGAAGGACAACAAGAGGATACATACAGGGTATGGTGGGATTCGAACCCGCTATCTCCATGTTAAAGAGCGTTTAACGGGAGATACTGCCCAGCCAGGATGACCCTTATGTTTATTTATTGTTATACATGTGCTGGTTTCTGTGTTCATTACTGAGCCAGATAGCCTGGCTGGTAGGGCATTGAGCCCATGTAGGAGTAGTCATGAGTTCGATCCCCACAGGCTGAAGTCATCTTGGATACAAATGGTGATTGATACACACTAAATCTGTCTGGGTCAAAAAGTCCTATAAGCTCCTAAAACAAGTCAACACCTCTGGGGGTACTGGATCGGATATTGATCGTGATCTGGTTCAGATCAAAATTACGATCTACGGAGGGATGGAGTGTGAAGGTGTCCTATTTGAAAACGGGATGTGACGTATGCATGTTGTCTCTGGATCATCCTCAGGGATGTTTCCCAGACCGTCACCAATAGCCCATTGTGCAGCTCTAGTGTGACGTAACTAAAAGTTCTGTACAGTACCGGACTGTGTTCATTACTGAGAGTAGCTTATAATCCCTTGTCAAATTAATGAACGGAGGTCAGAAGTTAGGGAGGGAAATCCCAGAGACACATCTTGAGATAAAACGGGAGATTCGAGCTCGCGTGGTAGTGTTCCGAATGATAAGGCCGTTCGGTTAGAGCAGTCCAATGAAAAAATAAATGATAAAAATATTAAAAATACGTATTTTAAAATGAGTGATGGAAAGAGTATGTACCTGAAATTGTAATTCTCTACATTTCACAAAAAATTATTGAAATTATAAAGGAATTTATAAAATTAAAATGTCGAAAAAATGCGTTGCCCATACTTTGCTTCACGTTTCTAGAAATGCCACTAGCGTAGTTTAAAGCTATGGTAGTTAATAATCTCTTTTAAAAGAAAAGTCGAGACATCCTATCAAAAGTATCACAAATCAGAGAAGGAGAAATGCAGCTAGTGTGTTTTCACAGGAATCGAACCTGGTACCCTAGCGCTTCGGAGCATTTGAAAAGGGAAAGTAAAAATTTTACTCGAACTATTGGCAGTTACTCCGAAAATATTTCTTCTGAAAAATATCGGAGTGACTGAAAGACTGTGACAGAGATTTTTGGTTACCAAAATTCGCTTTTAGTTGAATTTAAATCCTACACATTTCCATCTGACAATTTAATCTTTCGAGACATAATATATATATATATATATATATATATATATATATATATACAATT